GTGTGTGTGTGTGTGTGTAGGTGCAATGTCACAAAAGGTGCTGTGCTACATTTCAGGGGCGTGTTTTTATCTGCCTGTTCATTGCATATCCAAACATTCAGTCCTTTTTATGTTGTAGTGCCAAAACGTCTCAGCTGCAGTAAATATAAATTATCTGTCTCTGAATGTTTTGCTTCCTTACATAATAATATATATTAAAACTTTACTCTACTACACTGTGAGGTATTTGTAGCTGCAGATAGGCAGATACTTACACAAACTCAGTTTGAGATGTGACAGTGGGAGGTGGCACATGTGGACATGATAATATGAACGATGATTCAGAGCTGGTTTGTCAGAGCTGGTCCTTTTTTCACAAGTGTCACAGCAGGAAAACCATCAATCATCAATCATCAACGCTCAGTTTGGCAGAAGTGCACAAAAAACAGGTAAAACTAGAGAAGGGAGCAAACCTCCGCCAGGGCCCAACTGTTTCCTTAGATTCAGTCGAACTGCACTAAATTACACGCACTCACAGCTCTCAGTCCCAGTCCGTCCACTATGTTCATAAATATCAGTTCCCTAAATATGGCAGATTTTCTTCCATCAAGTTCCATAAATTTTATCTCTGGGAAATTCATAGAAATGTCAAAAAAAAACAGCAAGTCTTGAAATGTTGAAGACGGCGCTAAAAACAAATTCATGGATCTGCCCTTAGTCCAGATCTGCTCTGAAATGAAAATGGGTTCTTCCCGAACCCGTGTGCCATCCTTCCACCAAGTTTAGTGCTAATCTGTTTTCACATAATCAAACCAACAGACAAAACAAATCTCTGTCAACAGTGTTTCAGTTCTATGACGAGTCCCAGTTCATCGTGACAGTGAGTCGCAGTCCAGTCCTGAAGCATTTTGACAATTGCACCTGTGCTTTTCTAAATGCCATGGCTGTGAAGGAGGTCGTCATGTCTCACTGTCACAGGTCAAAGGTTACAGAGACGTCTTTAATGTAATCAGCAACATGCAGTGTTCCTGCAGCAGGATGTCAAGGGAAAATGGCGGCTGTGAAAAGGCAATAACGTGCCATTCCATGCATGTCTGAGCTCCTCTGAAGGTCCAGTATCCCCGATTGTGAAGTCATTGTTCCAACTGATGTGTTCATGTGTCTGAAGGTGGAAATAACATGGTCGCTCTAAACAACATTCTCTATACCCCTTCTCCTTTGAGGGTCGCAGGAGCTGGAGGTGGGTACATCCTGGACAGGTCGCCACCTTATCACAGGGCAAACCTTAATGTCGGGTTCCATTACACCTCAGAGCTCGGCCCTCAGAACGACGTCACACCCGAATAACCCGAGTTCCAATAATGTGATGGCATTTCACAGCATTTCACACACACTAACAGTAACGGTGAAACGTCCACAGAAAGTAACTGGACAGTTCTATTTGTACGACACATTAATGACAGAAGGTTGTTGATTAACAGTAAAAACTACAGCCACTGTTACTTTACTACTCTTCATATATACGGAGCGGCTATCTTGGATTTCGAAGTTCTGTGGGAACAAAACTGACTTGAGTGAGTGAAGTGAACATTAATCATCCATGAAGGTTTTTCTGTATCTCACTCAAACATCCACAAACACTTACAGAGGATTTAAGGATTTTTATTTTATCACAGGATCACACACACACACACACTCTTCCTCCCTGAGGCCTTTTTCCTGTTTCCTCCTCCCTCCATACACATGCTTCATCTATGTCTCACTCCTCTTCCTCCACCCCCTCCTCTTCTCCTCACATAAGGATCCTATAAAGTTGAGGTCCCAAACTTTTACGCGTGCGCAGTGGCGACTCCGAGTAACGCGTGTGTGTGTAGTAGTATTATTATTGTGAATGGGGGAGGGGAGGAGGGGGAGGAATAGGAGGAGGGAGGAGGGAGTGGGGGGGGGGCGGTATTTTGGGTGTACAGTCACAAGAGCGACTCGACGGAGCCAGGAAGTAGACTGTTGATGCCTTCAAGTGCTTCTCCAAAGTGCCGAAATTTTAGCTTTTCATCAAAGGCATCGAGCGGAACGAGGAAACAGATCAAAGAGACTTTTGAGAGTGATGCAAAAGATTAAAAAAAAAAAGATACATATAAAAATATAAACAAACATTTAAGAATATTCTAGTTTGGTTGTTAACATTTTTTTATTTGTGCCCTTTATCCATTTTTCTTTACTTATTAAACTATGTCCCCTTTGTTTTACGGAATCATGCGCATTTAAAAACGCGAAGCCCTAAGCCCTTTTTCCTCATGGAACATTTCTGTGCCAAATACGCACGATTCGTGACTCCATTAACGCCTCCCTCGTTGTGAGATGTATCCACTTTCTGCGACCGTGATCCTTTGTGCTTCAGACTTTAGGCACAGTCTCCTTCCACGAGGACCTGGAAGTTGCAGGTAGACGCAGGCGGAGCGCGCACTCGTTTGTGGCCACTTGCTTTGAGATCACACGCGCGTCAGGGACGAGAGAGAGAGAGAGAGAGAGGGAGGGAGGGAGGAGAGAAACACACACACACAAACATACACACACACACACACATTGAGCTTCATCTATCGCGGTGGGTCACTTAATCTGAGCCATTTGGAGCCAGAGGCGACCCGGAGCGCACAGGAGCCGCAGCCAAGGATCAGATCATCACAATAAAGATCAGCGGTGATAATCACACAGAGCAGCAGCAGCACATTGCTCCACACAGGGAACACACACACACACTCACACACACACACACACACACTAACACTCACACACACACACACTCACACACACGCTCAGACACGGAAGAGGGTTGAGTGAGAGAGGAGGCTGAGTGAGCGGAGGACGCACAGAAAAGTTCAACTTCATCTTCTCACCGGATCGTTTTTTAGAGACACAACCAAACAGGACAGAGAGACGCGGAGGTGAAGACTGAACCAGGCTGGAGACGATGCCGCGGGTAGTTCCGGACCAGAGGAGCAAGTTTGAGAATGAGGAGTTTTTCCGCAAGTTGAGCAGAGAGTGTGAGGTGAGTCTGTCTCCAACACACTGGCTCCATTCACTCACACAGACACACACACACACACACACACACACAC